GACAATTATGTGTTGCTGATATGTTGTCATATGTTCAGAAGTATAAAAGTATCTTTCCTTTCTTCCCAGTAAATCAGGAATTGAAAATGTAGTTTGTATTATTTAATTTTTGGCTTTTGGTGGTCAGTTTAGGGTTTCCTCTTCTTTGAGAATTTATGTTGGCTGAACGTTTTAATTGTCCTTAAGGAACATTTTGGTATTTTGGTCCATAAGGAACTCTTTTTTGAAAGATAAGGAGGAAAACTCAGTTGAAATGGAAATTTTATCCTTGTTATTTTTTCGTTTGTTTGGTTTTTTGTTTGTTTGTTTTAAGCAAGAAGTTAGTTTGGTTGATTTTAGAATCCAATCATCTATTTATTGTCATTACTTAAACAAATCTCAGCTCTCTTTTAATAGCAATTTAACTTAGTTTATGTTAGCTTTGTTATATGAATTGGATTGCTTATTACTGATAACAAAATCCACATGCCTTATCACTGCACAAAATATATATTTCAGTTTGATCTAAAGAGACGATCTGTATTAGATACTGTAACACTTTTGCCCCAGTAGATCTATATTTTTGTATATTTAGACCTCTGCCATGCTTAGTCCTTCTTTTAAGCTCAAATAATTTTTATCCTATGAGATACTTCTAAAACTCACTTCAATATGTATGAATATTTTTATGACAAATAAAAAATTGGGGATAATAAAAGGTTTCTTTTGGAGTGATTATGACTAGATAAAGACATTTATATGTTTTCTTCAATACATATTTACCATGATAAATAGTAATAAATCTGTCACAATCTGTTCTGTCAACTCACTTTTTTTTCTTCTTCTTTTCAAAATGGGCCCTTTCTCTTCCTTAACATAAAGGAAGAAAATTTAAACAGTAACATCTGTAATCAGATATTATTTATGGCGGGACTAGGGGACAGAGACTGGACTTCTCTTGCTGCCATTAGGCTGGATCTTTGCAGGAAATTGGGAGAGTGAGGGGCTGGACTGGCCCTGTTTTTGAAAATAACTGCAGCATCTGTGGGAGAGAGAAAACATAAGCCTGGCCCAACATTGTGCCATGGATCTGGCAGGATCCTTGAATGTGTTTGTACTGTGCGCAGCATCTAGAGACCTCGAGTCACTGTGGAAGCATGACAGTGATAGGGTGGCGGAAGAGCCAGCCTGCAGGGTCGCAATGCACAGGCGCAGTGGAGGGAAGGGAGTCTGTCCCCTTGGAGAGCAGAGGCCTGTAGTTAGGGCTGGGGTGATGTTTTTTTTAAAGGAAAGGCTGTGTGAAATTGACAACTATCTAATTGCCCACCGGAGCCCTGCTTAGTACTGGGGAACATTTTTGTGCTCTCTCTTCCCATTTTAGTATGTTGCTCTTTTCAGCCACATCTCAGTGTCTTATAGCCCTCATCTTTTGATAGGACTTTAACAATATAGCTTTGTTTTTTTTGTTTTTTTGTGGATGTGAGGATTTATCTTGCCTATCTAATGTCTTGCATTTGCACGTGAACTTCTTTGTTCGATTTCTACATGATGTTTTTTTTGTTTTTTGAAGCCATACATCATCTTGAACTTAATAGCTTTCAACTTTACTGCTCCGTCCAGCAAATTTCCTATCTTTGTATAGCCTAATTGTCATACGTATTGAATCATGAGTTAGTGCAGAGAAAATTATACCGCGTTAAATCACATTTTTTGACAAAATGTCCATGATTCTTAGAAATTAACATGGAGGCATTAAAATCTAGAAAGCAAAAAAAAATTTTTTTTATTTGGTGCCGTTTTAAAATATTTTTTCCAAACACACAGAAAAAACACAGAAACAAAAGACATTGTCTTTCAGAAACTTTAGTGTGCCCACCAATATGTAAACACATAAAATCTTCATCTTCTTATAATTTGGAATGTTTCAAAATGATATACATTTAACCAGAAACTATTAACAACTACAGCCATTCTACTTCAAACATTGGTGGAATTTGTCTCCACTTCTAATTCAGTTTTGAAACTTCAGTGACAGTCTCACTAAGATCCCCAGTTAGAATCCCTGAAAATTCAGAATTCTCTAGAAATATGAAGTTTTATCTTTAGAAATAGTCTATGACTTTTCTTATTACAGGCTATCTTTTTTTTCAAACTGCACTTTTTAAGAAAGTCTGTGAAATTGCAGTTGTTTTTTGGTTTGATTTTTGCCTTTAAATTCAGGAAGATCTAACAAGCTTTGTATTAAGTGGTCAGAGATAATTTTGAACACATGAATTTTTAAGGAAAACAATTGCAACTATCTTAAAGAATCTAAAATAAGATTTGGATCCTCCAAGGAAATTTGAGATATGAGTTAATCATTAGGTAGACTCGAAAAATAAAAACTCAATGTGTATGAGATACTTGGGTTAACCAGTTTTTTTAAGGAAAGAATTTTTAAATAAAATAAAATCTTAAAGTCTGGATGAGACATTTTTTCACAGAAGAGATTTTTAGGAATATGAGGAAAAGTTGGATAATGCTGACAGCATTAACTGTTGTCTGTATTTTCCATTATATGAAAACCTTCATATTTGAAGGTTGCAAACATGACGTTGAGGTTATACCCTCAGCTATTTTTAGAAAAAAAAGTTTTTTTCTCAAATGCTTGAAGAAATCACAAACAATTTAAAAGAGAAGTTGGTAATTTTTTTTATCTTACTAGAAGCCCAGAAATTTTATATGATTGAAAATCTCAGTACTTAAAATACTTAATTTCCCCCATCACTTTTGAAATTGATCTTAAGGAAATCATAATGATGCTTTTTCATGAGAACAAAATTTTAACTTGAGTGATAATACAACTTTTGCTAAAATAAAATTTATGTTGATTCTAAAGTGAACTAGGTGTCAGCCACCTGGGCACCATCCTGTGTAGAAAAGTCTAGAAGAAGCCAATTGTGTGATAAGCTATAAAAGGAGGGGCCTCTTCAAAGTTCATTCCTAGAGAAGTAGATACTTTGTGAAAAAGTTTAACTGTAGGTGTTTACGTTAAAATGTTAGGATAGCTCATAATAGTTAACTTTAAACATAGCATGCCCATTTTCTAATGAGTGATATTGAAATATGAAGTGTGGATATTAAAATTATGCTTATTTGTCATGAAAATGTATAGGCAGAAAGAAGGTAAAGGATAATGCAATTAAAACATCCCAAATAGGGCAAAAGAATTATTCACAGAATTCACACAGAATATGTAACGTGACATTGGGGGGAACACCTTGAAAGTCGAGAAAATATTCATCACAAAGAAAGTATTTATTTTTTTTGTTCAGTTAGTACTGAAGTCACTAAACCAAAGGCTTCAAAAGTTTAGCATGTACATTAATCAGTCTTTTCCTCTTCACTGCAGTTATAGGTTACAGGAGTTAAGGTGTTTTTTTTTGAATTGCTGGTTATAGGAGAATCTATATTTAAGTTTTCATTGGGGGTACTTATTCCATTAAAAATATTTCAAAAAGCATATAAAATTCATACAAATATACAACACCTAATCCATTAGGCGTTCGAATCTCTGAGGAGTTTTCTAAAAAGATTTCTATATTTTTGGTTCCAAATTTTGGAATAATGAGGGTTCTCTTCTACTATCCTCCCTGTCTTGAAATCCAATTCTGCTCCCCTTAAAGAGGTGTCTTCTGGTGTGTGTATATTTTAAATATAAAATGAGAAGAAACATAAGGGAGAAGAAAAACTCTTCAGTTAACTGTGGGTGAAAGGTTTGTGTATTTCTGAGCTCGGCTGGGATTATATTTACAAATGAAAAGGATGTATGCCTGAAACACTCCAACAAGACACAACCACCTAGCTATTTCCACAATGGAGACGCCTTCTCAGCCAGCTTTGTCTGATTATTCTACTAAGCAAGCTCTTCTAAGGTGGTACAAATGATGTCTCCCCTCTCACCCCCATGTGTTCTTTTATTTTTAACCAAGGTTTCAATATTTCAACCGCTAAGATTTCTGTTGAAATTTCGGAACAATAGCATTTAGTGTAAAACTGGACTCATTTGTTGAGAAAGGAGAAATACGTTTCAGGGAACTGTTATTTTGAACCTTATTTTCTCACTTTTACTGAAGAGTACATTTTGGTGTGAAGTCTTGGGCTCCATCTGAGTGGTTTAATTATTAAGAAGCTAAGAAGCTGCTATAAGGCTGCTTTACCTAGAGAGAGAATTATGACAGGCTTGTGAGTGTTTCGAAATTATAAAAACTTGTTCTGCAGCATCTGGCTTAACTGTGCATTTATTTTGTATTTGTGGAATGATAGAGATGCTTGGCTTGATATTCGGTTGAATATCATTTTAAACTTTTAATATTTCATCAATTGAAACATGTCTTATTTTCTAACATTGCGAAATTTTCTCATTTTTTCCCCCGATTACTGACAACTCTGCTTTTTCAAGGTGTGCCTTCTTGCTTTCAAGCAATTCTAAATTTTTTGTTTGAAAGTCATGAATCAAAGTCAGATAGAAATTCAAGGACTTTAAATAAGATGCTCTCAGAATGAATACGTAGCAATAATCCTGAAAGGCATGAAGAGTTTCTTCAAAAATAGCAAAGTTTTATTTTCTTAAGGCAGGTTAGATTCTATCAGGCTGTTGACAGACACTTGCTGTGTTGTTTTATTTTAATAAATTGCACTGAATTCTTAAACTGAACATAAAGTTGCATTTCAAAGCAATAACGTGAAATTCTCAGCCTTGATCCCAACTGTCCCAGTGTATGTGTGTATACACGAACATGCTCATTTTAAAAGGAATGAGAGCTTTTCTAAAATTCGGTGCAAAGTTTGTAATTTTGAATACTCCGGTATTTTATCTCAGAACAGCAGCATGTGAATGATTCTGATTTTTTTTTTTTTTTTTTAGTTACAGCTGTTGCATAGGTGCAGAGCTATTTGAGGAGTTTCCTGCTTTGCTAGAGCTTATACTCCCTCTTCAGAGAAATGAAGGTAGTGCAGAAGATTCTGCATTTTGGAAAATTTCAGGGTTGGAAATAAAGATGCTTTAAGTTTCAAGGAGAAGCATCGATTTGAATTCCGAGAGAATGTGCAAATTCGATTTTGAACAGAACCTTTTAAGGATTCCGTTTCCGTGCTTTACAGGCACCCACTGTTGTCTTTCTAGCCTAATTTTGTCATCTGAGGAATTCATCATCAGTATCCTGCTAGGCTTGAAACTTGATCCATAAGCGTTTACTTCTAGAGTAATCAGAGGAGGATCTGTGTGTGGATTAAATTTCACTCAATTTATTTTGAGTGTTCCGTGCAACAGCAGAATAGGGACTCTTTTTATGCAGCCCCCTTCGTAGCCAAGTATAAAGAAAATTTTTCGGTGTGTTGCCCTCTGTCAATTGTTTTCAGCCATGGTGATGAAAAAGCATTTCCTTTGTGAAACATGGACTCAGAAAGACTTACGTTTTCTCAGGAAAATTACCCTTGTGGTACCTGCCTTACATGCACGTACAAAACCTGTCACTGTCACCACTTGCTGCTCCCGTCTAGGGATTTTAGAAAAATGCTGTTTTGGAGCAATTATTTTGATATAATCTGAGACAGAGTTTCTAACTCTCTCCCGCGGCCTCCTCCCTCCCAGCCCATATCATTCTAAATATGCCTCCTGGATTATACTTATAATAATATTGTAATGGCTTTCATTCTGCCAATTGGCACAGTTTATCATTGTGTCATTAGCTCCTGTGAGAAGGCAGTTTCAAGTAGGTGGCTGATTCTGAGCGGTAATGTTTTCGAGTAACCCTGTTTGGGGAATGCGGCTGTCTCACAGGTGCTCAGGTGTATAAGCCCAGGGTACAATAATATTTTCTGGCTTGCTCATTATGAAACAAATTTGAAGTACAAAATAATTCAGTAATAAGTGGAGTATAAAAATTGGGGCTTTATGGTAAGAAAGTCAAATAGCTTGAGATGTTAGCAGAGGAGATAAAAATAAAATTTGCCTAAGGATGCAGCAGTACTTTAATTCATGTCTCATTTCTCCTGGAACTGAGATTTTAAAAGAATATTCATGGCCTGGTGATGAAGACTTGTTGAATCAGTTTGAATGTTTTCAACCATGAAGCTAAATAGGAAAATAAACCTATTTCTGTAACTGTTGTAGTATTTGAAAGTATTGTTATGTAATAAAAAGGTACACGTTCTGCCACTTATGTCATGCTTAATAGTAAGGCATCTGCTTGGTGAGTGAAATTTCAGTACCAAAACCTGTGGGTTCCTCATAGAGCACCTTTATGTGAATTTTATTTTTAAATGTATACAAGATGTTGCCACATAAAATCTGTAGCTTAGTCGATAGTGCTAGGCAGAAGGAAGCAGAATTAAGCATATTTGTTATGGAGCAGATATAGTCGGAATTACAAAATTCAAACCCCAATAAGTAATTATTTTACAAACAATGCTGTTTTGTTTTCCCTTTCATAAATTACATCAACAATCTAGCTGTTAAGCGGAACCCTGTAATAAACTGGGAGCACCCAGGTGGGAGGGGGCAAAAAGCATTTTTAGAAGTTTCCATTCATTCATTCATTTCTTTCTTCATTTATACTTATTCAAAGCATATTTTTCAACTAAACTAAAAGCCAGACATGCCATGTATCACTGAACAATTCCATGCAGCGTCACTCACATCCCAATTTGGGGAATGGCCTTAGCATTTTAAAGAGCAGGTCTGGCCTTTGGAGAAAGTTGTACCTATTCAAAAAATCACACCCAGTGTAACACAGGGACGTTTTGTCCTTTAGGTTTTTTATGGAGATGCTGAATCCCCCTACTCACTTGTAATCACCTTGAAGAGAGTAAAGGTCTGTCTTGTTTTATGTACATCTTTTTTTGTCCCATAGAAACTCAACCCACTGCCTTCTGCGTATTACTTCAAAATATATTTCCAGTGAATGAATATAGGAATAAAAGTGGTAGAGTAGGGTGCAGATAACACCATTAGAAATAAAGAGATCTTCCTAGTTTAGTGTCTAATATCCTCTACTTACTCACTCAGTGGCCTTGGTTAGGTCGCACACCTATTTTGTGGTCTATAAAATAGATAGAAATAGTGCCTGCTTAGTGAGCTGGTTGATGTTGGTATACTAACAGACCCTTAACACAGTGTTGATTCTGCATCACACACTGAGCACTTTGCACCTATTCAGTCATTTATCCCTACACCATCCAATTGAGACGGGTACTACTGTTTATTCACGCATAAAAGAATGGAGACACAGAGAGGTGAAGAAACATGGCCAAGGTGACACAGCTAGTAAGTGGCAGAGCTGGGATGGTGACCTCGACAGTCAGCCTTCAAGGTTTTCTGTGTCCTTAACCATGAGGCTGTAGCTATTTGCAACACTTTGTAGACCAGAAGCTCTCTACAGCCTGGCTGATGCTCATTTAGCAAGTGTTTGATGATGTGGAATCAATTAAATATTCAGAAATTTCATCTCACTGTAGAATGACCCTCAATACCTCTAAGTCACTGGTTATTATGCACCACTTTGGCCCAGGCAGATCCCTTAGAAAATCCAGACATTCCAGAATAGCATTTCTGTAATAGAAACAGTATCATCTAGTGGTTAAGAGCATGGAATCTGATCACTTGGGTTTTTAAAGTTGGCTATGCCGCTTACTAGCTACCTGGCTCTGGGCATATGATGTAATTATCCTTGACTACTTCCCTGAAAAATGGGGAAAATATACATACCTCCTAAGGATATTGTGATAAATAAATTACAAAAATATATATAATGTGCTTAGCATAGCCTTGAGGCCTTGTAGGTATCTAGAAATCAACAGCTAATGGTAATTGTGATAAGCGCACTGGCAACGTAACAGAGTAACCGCTAGAGAAAAGCATGCAGCTTGTTAGCAACAGAGCAGAAACTAAGACCAGGGTCTCAAGTGCCTTCAGAAAAAATTCTACCTAATGGAGGCCACTTGCTTTTTCTCAACTTAGGAAATATAGTGAGCACTTTCTGTATCTCTTTGTCCTTACAATAGTATCTCCATCCGTCCAAGACACCTAGTCAGCCTTTTGAATCATCCAGCTTCATCGCTCAGCAAAGTTTGTGTTGGAAGGGCATACTCCATCTTTTTTCTTTTGAAAGAGGACATCAGGCCAAGATGACGGAGTCCTCATAATTTGATTCTCTCTGCCAATCATTTGTTTATGCCTAAATCAGCCCTGCCTCTAAGTGATAAGGAGATACATGCTTCTGATTTCGTATTCTATCAACGTCATCCTGTAAGTGGCCAGAAGCGGGGCTCCCGAGTGATGCCCGGGTCTCCCTTTGTAGGGCTGGCTCTGGTACCCATAAAAAGAGACGGTGAGGCCTGGGGTTTTGGCTTCATCTGACAAGACGAAGATACCTTGACTAGGTGGGTGCGTGTGGCAGTTTGCTTCTCTTCTAAAGTAAAACAGAGTTCGATTTGTTTAGGACTGTTTAGGTCCATTTCTAACATGAAACAGGATTATTTAAACAGACGTTTTCAGGGAAAGTCAAAGAATTGGGGGATTCTGGCCTTTGCTGCCTAGTAATGTGTTTTTTTCTCAATGCCATTGCTGAATTCATTAGGGGAAAAAAAGTATTTTTGCTTGTCAGCTGTGGGAAACCTAAAACAATTTCTGCAAGGGCTGATTCATGAATTCTCGCATTTAAAGGGAAAAAAAAAAACATCTGCCAAAGGGGGTGGAGGAGAGAGAGCATGACTGATACATTTCACAACAAATATCTCTTCCCAGCCAATTTCAATGTACAACAAAACCAGACCCCACGTTAAGTTCCTCAGGAAAGGTCCCTTTTGGCTGGACCTCTTCCTCGAAGAGTCGTCCCTCATTTGTAGTCATTGCCACCTTGTGGATTACAAAGGATATTGGTTTTCATCAAACTTCCATTTCCATTTGGCTTTTTATGGCAAGTGCACTTTGGCAGTGGGTTGCCGAGTTCCTCACCAAGAGGATCCTGGTTTATTCAGCAACACCTCACTTCTCCCAGTTCATTTATGATTCTGGTGAGAGTGTTTTTTCAGGAAACACACATTTCACTTTTTGACCTAGGAGCATCTGTTAGAATTTTTTTTTTAATACTACTTTGGCATTCTGGAAGTGTTAATGTCTTTCATATCTGTTTAATGCTATTTAGGGATATTTATGATCACCTCTTGGTTACTCAGGGTAAAGTGTGTCGCAATTTTTTTTAAACAGACAGGAAAGCATTCACATGAGGAAACAGATTGCTTTAAACATGTGCTTCCTGTGACAGTAAAAAGAACAAATTAGATTTAACACTGTGTAATGAACGCATAAATGTGTACATTGAAGCTTTTAAAAGCTTTATGTTCAGTTCTGGTCACAAGCAAAATTGAGTCACCTGTAAAACTTAAAGATACCTCGTTTCCTCTCAGATTCCTGAAGTGCCCAGGAATCAAGTTCCTCACCTGCGGCTGCCTCATTGGAACCCTAAAAAAACATGATCCGTTAAGGCTGGAGAGAATGAGCACGTTCCAGACACATTCAGGGGTTAAACCAGGTTAAAGGCAGATTCAGTGTATTTAGCGAAGAGAGCAGAGTGTTTGGGGGAGAGAAAGGGAGGATTTTATTACCATCTCCCTCCCTCTCTGAGAATCAGTGGGGAAAAAAGTATTCTTCTGAATCCCACATCGACCTCTTTCTTTTATGAAAGAAAAATAAGAAAATCTGATGCTTACTTAACTAGCCCCTACTAAGATTTAATTACGTAAGAAAAGGACTCCTTTCCTTACATAATTCAGTCTGCACTCCTGAATGCTGGCTGGCAGGGAGCGCAGAGAATCCGAGCTAATATTTCCAGTTAGACACAAGTGTTAAATTGGAGGGCAGGAATCCTCTCCCCAGAAGAGGCTCTCCTCGCCATTTCTGCCTGAGCCCCGTGGATGGTGCGTTCCCTTCCCCGGTGCTCTCAGAGCTGAGGATTTGTGGCAGGCTCACCATCTCTCTGGCCAAGGAAGGCCGGGACCGAGTCCCTCAGGGGAGGGCACATAGTTTGGGGACATCTGACTCTCTGCTAGCTCATACTGAGGTACTAATATCAAAACAGACTGCTTGTCGCTGCGCGGTGGGGCAGTGCTTTTTTTGGCTGCCGTGGTTGAAATGAAATGGGCAAGCTGTAGCCCGCTTGGCATCAGAAGGGGCGAAGGGAAGCTGGGAGATCAGAGTCAGACTGTGAATAAAAGTAACAACCAATGGTTAACTTCCTTTTTGTGTGTCACTTGGCAGCGATGCGACTGATGGCGATTTTTTTTTTTTTCTAACGTGGGTGAGAGTTCAGTGCCCTAGGAAGAGCCGTAGACGCCGCTATTGTGCTTCCTCATACAGTTGACTTGCGTTGATTTCTTGAGGCCACTACCGCTGTTCCCAGAGCCAGCTCCAGGAGCTGTATACATGGCCCGTCGGACTTCGAATGAAAAAGGTAATCAGATCAGAGGTGATCCACACGAAATCTCACTGCTGATCACTAGGAAATCACCGGGAAACCAGATTCTCGCAGAAGGCAGCGGTGCCAAAGGATAAGATATGCACTTCAGTGGATATTCCCCAGTATGCAGACATCCAAAGATCTTTTTAAATGACAGGACTCCACATCCCTCATCTGCCATCAAAGAGTCGAATCCGTTTTGGGCTGTCTGGAAAACGCAGGGCTAAAATAGCCAGATTGAATTCAGACGGAATTACCTTCTGCTTTTGGGGGCAGGTTGTGGCTCTTGGGTTAGGGGCATTATTTTCTTTGAAGGATTCATTCGGAAGAGAGTTGGGGAGAATTTCTCAAGATTTTCCTCCCATTCCTCTGTTTGCAAAGAGCTGTTCCCCAAAGGCAAAAAGAGCGAGTTGCCATCTTGAGGAGTGAATTGTGTGTTTAGTGAGCACCAAATGGTCTCAAAGTTACCCTGGAATTTTCAATATATCTAGTCGCTTTCATATACTATTTATTCCCCTAACCATTTGTACAAGATATCAGTAAGATGACCAACTTTTGACAACCCTAAAAGCAGGGAAGGAAGCTTAGAAATAGAATACCATTTGTCTGGTAATTAGAGTGTATCTCTTAAGAGTTCGAGAGAATTCTGATTAACCTTTCTGTTCCCACATTCTCACATAAAATTAGCACACCTTTTAAATTATTATCTAGTATTTAAACAAACATTTTTTTGAGTCTTCTTAATGCAACAGGTTCTGGAGACACTAAAAGTGTGTTATAGGTTCCTAAAAAACTTCATTTTTCTTACATTTTAAATGTTCTGTTTGTGCAAAATTTCAAGAATCACCATAAGGGCTTCTTTGCATTTTTAATTTAGTAACTAACATATGAATAAATTTGCATATTAATTAGTTGCAGATTAAATCATGCATACATAATTGCCTCCTTACTGTGTTTAATGTTTGTCAAAATCTCCAGCCTGGTTTGATGGATGTCATATGAAAGATTACAATTTGATGTACCCTTGGAAGTATTTACACCAATAATGCAAGACTCTTAATAGCAGAATTCTCTAGTTATATACAGTTACTAATAAACATGTAAGATAGGTACATGTCCCTTTGACTAAAATTTTTTTCTTTGCACCAAATCATTTACTATTCATAATCATTAATGCATCTCCTAATTATACAGCATATGTCTGTTAACCCTTTCATTGCCCGTCTTCAAGGGGTAGCTTCTTTTCTTTCCTTGTCCCCTAAAGAAAGCAAATTATTTCATAGGATTCTAAAATAACCACATTGCCTTTTACCTATTTTCTCCTTTGCCATTTCCTGAGGATTATATAATCACTTTGTATTTTACAGTTTTAAGATCAAGAAATGACCCATGTGCCCACAATTTGTAGCTGATGGGCTCCTGCCTGCCTCTCTTTTACCAATGCTGAAAAGAATTCAGTTATTTCAGATACCTTCAATTAAATGATTAAAAAAATATATAAATGTATATAGATATACACACACTCTATTTAGGAGGGTAGTTGTAGGATAAGTAAAATTATTTAACTTAAATTTTATTCTATTTTGAATATTGTAATGCATTTAATGTATTATCATCAGCTATAGGATGGATATGTTTTTGTTTTTGTGTTTTTGTACTAGGACTGAGACCTCTGCAGTAGAAACTGACTAGAGAGTGGATGCTCTTGATTCGACGTAGTTAAAAAAAAATATGTATGCCAATAAGTGTTCTTTTTAATTAATTCCTCAGGTATTTAATTTTTTTAAGTTTTATTTTACTCATGTAAGGAGCCGACCAACTGGCTTTTTTTTTTTTTTTTTGCTATTTTGATGTCTAAGCTGCTTATCACACTGTATTACCCTGCATTAATGAGTATTCCTACTGTGCAAAATTCTATCAGAAATGATGGTGTGAATGTCATTTTTAATTGGAAGTTTATACAGTCAAATTTATAGTACACAACAAAAAATATGTACGTAGTTCTGCTCCAAGCCTTTTTTAGGCTATTGATCTTTTTGGTTTAAGTGTACATTTTTGTCAATCTGACTTTAAATTTAGTGTGAGAATCTGGACAAATATTACTAAGTTTGTGTTAATACCATTGTTGGGGGAAGAGGGAAACTAAGGCACCAGACAATAATAATGCCTTTTAATTATAAGAGGAACAAATACAGGAATTACCAAGAATCTTTTTTCATGGACGCATTTTAAACATGGAAACTTGCTGACCAATTTTATACGTTCCACAGAAGTCATAATATTTGATTTCTGTCTATTTAATTGTTGAATGCCTCGCATTTATATGCCTAGTAAAGAGACCGAAGGTTAAAATGAGTTCAAAGCATAAAGAGCTGATTTTCTTTATTTGATTCTTACTTAGGAGAAATAATACCTCCTGGTCGCCTACCTCAGGATCATTTTTTTCTAATCACAAGGCACAATGAACTATTTATTGATTTAGCAAAACATTCTAACGCAGCACACAATATCGTATTCAGTTGTTTAGTAAAGAGAAAAATGAAATGAAAGTTGCAAAACTTATAAAAGGAAGCAAACAGTCAGACCTGAAACATCATATTTATCCACAGCCATTGTGCCTAGGTAATTCAGGGCATATGGTATGTAAATGATGTTTGGAGATTCTTGCCAAATCTACACACGACGGGATAAATTAAGGACAGGTTTCCCTGGGTGTAAGTTCCATGATTGTGGCCGGCACACTCTGCTCGGATGTGTTTGTTCTGTTCTTGTCTTTCAGCAAGAGTGTCACACAGCCTTCAGTGGCCAAATCTGGTCCTCAGTCAGCTTTTAAGACACTATTTTTAATTCCTAAGAATCGGTTTTATAATTAAACTGAAAATATAGTACCAATTTGCCAAACCTTCCTTTTGCCCCAACATTTGAGAAGATCTGAATAATTCATCGGTATATATTTGGCTATCACCCATTTAAATGGGTATTTTTAACAGTAGAAATGGAGTGGTCTTAGCCCCTGAAGAAAGGTGTTACTAAGTAGTAACTTTTCTCTAGGTTAGGATTAAGATGTTTTCTAGAACAGGCAGTGGTTTATTTTGAATAATTAATAATTTTAATTCCGAGTTAGCCAGGTCATAATTTACGAATTCAACTGGATAACTCAAATTGCTAGTATCAGTTATTTAATTTCAAATTATTATTTCGTAGTATATGCTCTTACTTCTAGAAAGGTGCAGGCACTGTCCCCTGCATCTATTTAAAACTCATTTTAAGTAGGCAAGAGTTTTTATACTATTTCCTTTTTTCTGAAAGGAATTTTTTTTCTAGGCCGGGTGTCTTAGCCCATTGTTTTTAATACTTTAAATTAAGGTCCATTTTGATTTATCTTGGAACTGTGTAATTGGAGATTTTGTTTAGATATGATGGCAGATCCTTTTTTCCTATGACAGTTCATCAGAATATACCTAAATAGTGCATTCACTGTGAAGACTCAGTTATGAATACAAGACTTACACGCTATTAATAAAAGTTATTTCAGGCTATTTAAAGTATGTGGAGTATGATTTAGGATGTTTTATTGTTTTTATTAGTAAGAATGTTTTTACTGAATCAAGCTGTTATTTTTTGAAGGTAACGCTCTTAATATTATGGTTTGATTTGAATGAGCAGTTGAGGGAGGCTCTGTCCCTGCAATTACATTTCATTTGTGAAACACAAATAACATGCTAGTTACTGTATGGAAAATGACATTAGGCTCAGTCCTTGTTCATGGCTGTGTATATTGGGTAAAATCAGGGGAAAAAATACCCTTGAGGTCAATATCAAGCAATACTTCTTGACTCAGATCCAGTTTAAAAGTCATGTAAATGCTTGTGGTTCTGGAGGAGTTCACAAAAGTTTTGTGTGGTCCATAGTTTGTGAACTCAGGTGAAATTTTGATCTGATTATTCTCTGACCACCCCTTGGTTCATTGAAACTCCTTTGCACAGCTGTGCTCCCAACTCAGCAACAGAGAACAGAAATAATCTTCGCTGGAAAATAAAGCTCAGTCGGTCTTCCAACTTTACTGGGAACTTGCAGCCTTCAGGACAGCAAAATGGCCAACCACAGTTGAGATTAAAGAGTTCAGATTAAATGTATTGCACGGTAGGGTGGCATGGCCCTAGTTTCCTTCGTGCAAGTGCCGTGCATGCCAACAGCGTTAAGCACTGCAGCCACTTACTAAGATTTTTGGTTTGAAACGTCAGTCATCGGACCACATTTAAAATGAAGCACCTGCATTTTATTCAAAGAAATTAAGGTATATTAGGATATGCAGAGGTGAGTTGAGGTGTTTTTCTGTGTGTATTTTTTTTCCGGCAAGAGCCATAAATAATAAAGATAAAGCATCTCAAGTACTAAAGCAGCCTATTTCCATGCACTGTATGGTTCAAAATGACTTAGCCTTTTAACAATTTTTCAGAAAGAAAAGTATATAAAGAGTGAGATAAATGAAATTTGCATCTCTACAGACAACTCTGCGTAGCAAATTTAGGATTCTAGCATTGTTCTTCCAAACATCTGAAAATTGGGAATTTAAAAGGAGACCCGGACAAATCCTTAACTATTGCATTGCTACCAGGTGTCTCTAAGATTATAATCAGTAAGTTAGGAAACTTTTTTAAAAAGGTATGAACATCTAAAATGATAACTTATTTTTGTAGATGCTTTCAGACATTTCTTCTTAGTTAAGGACATTGAAAGTGTATTAACTGTTTGTTATATACTTAGTAAATTTTAGGTAGACCAGATGCATTAAGCTTGCTTCATGAAAGATATGACTTACTTGTGTCCAGATCTCAAGTGTATTTCAAGCCAGTTTTTACAAAATGTTAGTGCCTTTCTCTTAGGATTCTAATCAACAAAATTCCAGTCTTCAGCTCCCCATCTGACATCAGCCAGAAAGTATGGAGAGCGATTGATGATACTATATCATCAATATATATATATGATATGGG